TAGGTTTGAAATATAGGAAATTAGGAATTTTTATAGCATAATTTTGATTTGTTAAATCTCTAGCTCCACTCGTTAAAACTTTTTAATAAGTCAGACTCGAGTTTGTTTTTCAGCTCGATAACTTATCAAGATTTGCTAGAGCGGCACGTTAATAACTCAAACCCGAACTCGAATAGTAGGGACTCAAATTCACCTTGACTCGTTTAGATGTAAAGACAAATGACTATTTTTTTTTCTTCACTATAGTTTATTACAACTTACAAGTTGTATGTCTTTATCAAACTAATGCTTGTGAGTTTCTCGTGATTAAATTATTATATTATATTGAATCTATTGATTGATTATATGTAATTATGTACGAAAATGAAAGAATAAGTCAGTGAGCAATAATACATTGACCAGTCGGCAATGAAATCCAACTACGAGGACAACACATGTACTACACCAATAGTAATTTAAGAAATAATATATAAATAAAAAATGTTTCTATAAATAATATATAGTTTTTAGTTTTAATAATATACTGTTTAAATAATCAATTTTTAATTTTATTTAAAATGACATTCATAAGTCAACACATGATATTTTATGTATCGTACTAATTTAACGCTACAAAATTCTAATTTGTTGTTCGGGAGATCAAATCACATGCAAAAATAAAATTAATAATAATAATAATAACTCCGGCTTCCCTCATTGTACCACTATACCCAAAAAAAGAATAATAATAATAATAATTCCATGATTACACAAAACATTTTATTTGGCTTCTCAATTCTTCTTCTATTTAAAATCCGGTGATATTTTTTTACTAATAGTTTTGTTATGGAGCTATCGGATGACCTATGAAGTCATTCACAGTTATTCACAAATAGTGTATCGACGCGTGTCCTACAATAAATACACTTTGGACAGGTGTCAATACATTAAGTGATTGATGGCTCCATAAAAAAACTATCCGATAGCTCCATATAGTTTTTGTAGTATAGTTTTGCTATAGAGCCATCGAATGACTCGACTTATGAAGTCATTCACAGTTATTCACAAATAGTGTATGGACACGTGTCCTACAATAAACACACTTTGAACAGGTGTCAATACACTAAGTGATTGATGACTCCATAAAAAAGCTATCTGATAGCTCCATATAATTTTTGATTTTTCATATTGTTTTAATGTATTTATTACTTTTTTCTCCCCACGACTCGGAAAGGAAAAATATTATGGCTGTCTTATTGGGCTTATCCATGAGATTTGGGCTCCGTCCAGGACCATTACATCCGTTACATTGGGGCCTGAAAAATGACTCCAGACCAAATAATTTTGCAATTTCTAATTTACTTTGGTCGGGTCCGAATAATCTTACAGGCCCAGAGTCTTCGTCTATTGTGCCCAATGATACATTACTAGTATCTTCACCCGTGCGATGCACGGAACATATTTATTAAAATATTTTAATAAATACATTAAAATATATATAGATATATATATATATATATCATAAAAAGTAAATGACAAATAAATAACATTATTATTGAATATATAGTAAAAGTACAATATTATATGGTATTACAAATTATGAAAAACTTCTTGATAGACAATATTTTAGAATTATCGTCCCCCCACATATTAATATCTTAAATCCTGTGGATTAGTGACTCGAGACACATCAACGTATAATTGACCATGACTAATAAACACCAGTCTTTTCATGTAAAGTCCGACATGGAATAACGACTGCTCTTGACTCTTGTTGATTGTCATTGCGTAAGAAAACATAAGAGTAAATTGTATACGTTGGAACTTGAAGGGTATCATGAGATCAGATGGAGTTAGGGAAAGTCTTGATACCAATACCTTATGTCCACCATTTGATCCTGTTAGAATCTTACATTCAAACACGTAAGTGAAAAGTTTCGTTATCACCAAGCGTGTTCCACTACACATTCCAATTGAATGATCAATGTTTTTCAACAACATGACAGGAGTCCCAACCTTTAAGTGCAATTCATGATTTGGAACACCAGAACATTTTATACTATTTAAGAACTCCAACGTGTGCAGGTCATGTAAGAAATCAACACCACCATCGGTTTTGAATATGAGAGAACAATATAACACACAGATTTTGAATATGAGATTTATAGCGTGAATTACTCATATTCTGTACTCAAGTATCTTGGTAACTTTGGGTGTATTTTGTTAAGCATTCACCAATAATAATGCTTAATTTTTATTGACATTAATATGATTGAAGTATTTTGTTAAGCATTCACCGGCAAAATTTTAAAAATGATACATTAAGTTGGCGTTGTCAACAAAACAAATATTTTGTTGTCCCTCACGAAAAGGAAATATTTAGTTGACAATTTGGTCGGAAAGATACATTAATCACTCAACCTGGATAAATAACTGACGTGGCCGGATTAGATAATGACGTGACATTATAAATTTCATTTATTTCCTACGTGGCGTGATGTGTCTGTCATTCTTCTCTCCAATATACACAACTACCCATAGATAAATAAAAATAAAAATAATCCAAAAATAAATAAATAAACAAATAATAAAAACACATCAAAATAAAATAAAATAACAATAACAATAACAATAATAATAATAATAATAATAATAATAATAATAATAATAATAATAATAAACAAAAAAATAAAATAAAATCCAAAAATAAAAAAATAAAAAAAAATAGAAAAAATATATTTCGTTCTATTTCGTCAGCTATATATTAATAAAATATTCAAAAAATTTATATTTTGTTAATATATATTAAAAACTAAAAAAATTATTTCGTAAATATTTCGTTTAATATAAATATATTTCACTAATATATATTAAAAAATACTAAAAAATATAAATGATATTCATTAATAATAATAATTATATATAATTTATTATACTATCAAATATAATACTTTACATAATATTTTATTTATTTAATATATATAAGTATATTAAATATAGATATAAATTTATATTTAAATAAATTAAAATATATTTTTTTAGATATATATTTTTGAAATAAATTAAAATATATATATTTTTGAAATAAATTAAAATATATTTTTTAATTTAAATTTATATTGTGTGAATTATATTTAATACTTATATATATTAAGTAAATAAAATTTTATGTAAACTACTATATGAGATAATATAATTAATAATAAATTATATATAATTATTATTATTAACAAAATATTTATATATATATATATATTAGCGAATATATTTATATTTAATGAAATATTAACAAAATATTAACAAAGTATTTTTTATTTTTTAATAATTTTTAATATATATTAACGAATTATAAGTTTTGAATATTTTATTATTATATAGTTTAGGAAATAGAACGAAATATTTTTTTGTGTTTGGATTTTTTTAATTTTCCTATTTTTTTATTTTCAGTATTATTATAATTATTTTAATTTTTTTGTTGATGTGTCTTTATATTTATTTAGTTTTGGATTTTTTTATTTTATTTTTTTTTATCTATGTGTAGTTGTGTATTTGGAGATAATGATGTCACATCACGCCACGTATATAACACGTAAGAAACTAAAGAAAGTTATAATGTCATGTCACTACCTCATTCAGCCATGCCAGCTTTTTTATCCAGGTGAGGTGGTTAATATATCTTTTACGACCAAATCACCACCGCGAGGAACAACAAAATATCTATTTTGTTGACATCGCTCAACTTGGTGTATCATTTTTGAAATTTTGCCAGCATTTACCATTATCATGTATTCACCATTTGCATATGCAGGACTTATATTGTGGGTAGTGAATAATTTTAGATTACCTTCCAAATGTTTAGGACTAATTACATCAATGATTAATCTTTATTAAATATTTTTTATGGTATCAAATGATTTGGGTGTGCTTGTCCTAAAAAAACTTATATTTCAATATATATGTTAAGTATATTTTTTTTACGTCTCCAGAATATATTCTATACCTAAAATTGGATTATTTACTTTTCTTTTGTGATTTCTTACTATACCTAAATTGGATTATTTACTTTTCTTTTGTGATTTCTTAGTTTATTTAAACATATTGAGAATCAATTCAAAATCTACACTATGATTTACTTTTCTCAATGATTATTTACTTTTCTTTTGTGATTCAAAATTATATTCTATCGCCATCTACAATGCATTTAAAAATCAAATTTAATTATGAGAATCATTAATTATCAAGTCATATAAAATACTCATTCTATATTAAATTGATAATTAATTATCATGAATGATGTAATAAACTAAAAAGACAAACATACTAATTATATATTTGTTTCCAAAAATATTGTTGATACCATTTCCAAAAGAAGCATTTATATTTATTATTAGTAACCTCAATTCCATCAACTCCCTCTTTATATATATATAGATATAGATTGTAGAATTTTGGCCTATGAAGTATAACTACTAAGCCCATTACTGGTTTTGAATAGGTGTAAAAGAGCCGAGCTGTGTTGCTCGAGCTCCAGATCGGCTCGCCTATCAATATTAATGAGTCAAGGCTTAACAAATCAGAATCGAGATTTAACGAGCCGAACTAAATAAAATTATATAAAAGTTATCTTTTAGAGCTCTAACAGCTTCGTTAACAAAACAAGCTGTAAGTAAGCTCAAGCTCGATTGGTTTACAAACGAGCCAAGCCGAGCTCGGGTCTTAACATATCAAACTCACGTGCTGCTCGTTTAGTTTAACAACTATAGTTTTGAAATAAAATGTTTGTTGGGCCAATGGGTTATTGTTATTATTATTATTGTAATCACATTAATATGTGCTGATCTAAAAAAAAAAACAT